TCGAGGAGCACCCCATGCTTTGACCAAGGCACCCCTGAACCCCAGAACCAACCGTGAGAGGAGACCCAGATCATACTGGAGACCTTCAACACCTCAGCCACGTATATGTGGCCATCCAGTCTATGCTGTTCCGGTACACGTCTGGCTGTACCACGGCATCCTGACGGACTCCAGTGACTGGGTCCCCTACACCCACACTGCGCCCATCTGCAAGGGGTATGTCCTCCCCTACACCATCCTGTGACTGGACCTGGCTGGCCAGGACCTGACAGACTACTCCACAAAGATCCTCACAGAGCATGGCTACAGCTTCACCACCATTGCCGAGCAGGAAAACATGCAAGACATCAGGGAGAAACTGTGGTACTTACCCTGGACTCCGAGCAGGAGAGCTATGGGGAAGAACTATGTAGGAGCTGCCAAACCTGAGGGCATCACCACGGAAAATGAGCCATTCCACTGCCCCAAGGTGCTCTTCCAGCCTTCTTCCCTGGATGTGGAACCCTGTGGCGTGCACAAAATTACCTTCAACTCCATCAAGAAATGTGACGTCTGCAAGGAGCTCTACGCCGAAAAGGTGCAGTCTGGTAGCACCACCATGTACCCCGACGTCACTGACAGAATGCAGATCCTCACCCTGGCACCCCACACAGTGAAGATCAAGATCATGGCACCGCCTGAGCGCAAACCCTCCAGTGGATTGGTGGCTCCATCCTGGCCCAGCTGCCCACCTTCCAGCAGAGGTGAGTCAGGAAGCAAGATTCTGCCGAGTCTGGCCCCTCCACTGTCCACCACAGAAGCTTCTAGGTGTGACTTTTACTTTCGTGCCTTACACTCTTTCTTGACAAAACAAGATAAACTTGCACAGAAAACAAGATAAAACTGGCATGGTTTTATTTGGTTTTGTTTGTGTTTGCGTGTTCAGGATTTAAAAACTGAAATAGGGAGGGGGACAGCAGTTGGTTGGAGCAAGCATCCCCGAAGTCGTACAATGTGGCTGGGGACTTAGATTGTATGTTGTTCGTTTTTCTCATAGTCATCCCAAATATCATGGGATGCGTTGTTACAGGAAGTCCTTGCCTTCCCAAAGCTACCCATTTCTCCCTGAGGAGAAGGGCCAGTCCTCGCCCAAGTCCACACAGAGGAAGATGATAGCAGTGCTTTCGTGTAAATTGCATAGTCCAAAACGTTTTAATCTTTGTCTTAATACTTGTTCTTTTTGTTTTACTTTGAATCGTCTGTCATCATGGCCCTCCTGCTTGCCCCCTCAACTTGAGATGTATAAAGGCTTTCAGTTTCCCTGGGAGTGGGGTTGAGGCACGGAGACAGCCAGGTCTTGCATGTACACTGACGTGAGACCAGCTGGATAAAGTGCACACCTTAAAGGGAAAGGGGAAAAAAGAAGAAGAAAGAAAAAACAGAACCTACAAGAAAGAGTTCAAAAGAGAGGAGTCAATACAGGGAACTGGTTAAAAAGGTACTGGAAGAGTTAAAAGGGCAAACAGGGTAAAAAGAAGCAATCCAGGGATTAACAAAAGCAGAAAACTCTTGAGTTGGAGGAACAATGGGAGGAAGTGGTGGTATCAGAACGCAGGGGCCAAGGCTATACGGGAATCGACAGGGGCTCTCCAATGGAAGATTAGACTGTGGAGAAAGGGGCTATTCGACAGAAATAGACAAAGACACTGCCAAAGACACTTCCCAAAACACAGTAGAAATATCCTGTCTTCTTCTCTCTTTTTACCATCTTATCTCCAGCCAGTGCTTCCTATTGGCCAAAACCTAAGCAGAACTCAGTTGCCAGAAACTATGGGAAACCTAGTTTGCAGGCACTGGCTGTCTAAGATACAGAAAATTCAGAGGAAAAGCAAGAAACAGATAAAGCAGGCAAATGATTGGTCCTGGGGGGGATTGTCATGACGCTTACAGCTTACTTGCAAGTAGTTCAGATAAGAAAATGTATACATATAAATACAGATAAAACAAATCAGTTTAAGTGTTGAATATGGTTTGGTATATGGATGTTCATTATAACTATTTTTTCATTTTTCCATACACTTGATACTTTTTCAGAACAAAAAAGTGAAAAATCCATTCTAATACTCTATGAAGGAGAGGATAAGGGTCTGATACAAGGTCATGGCCATGGGAATGGAGAGAGAAAATCCTCTAAATGAATTTGACAAAGGTTCTCATTGAATCCTTGTAACCAAGATGGAAAAATGTGGACCAGAGCAACATTTATCATCATTTTTTCCAACACTACACATCTGAGAGCTGAGTTTTCTATTTGTCACTCTCCCAAGGATGTATCCACTATTATTCTCACACTAGCTAAAACCCCTACCTTATTTATCATACTCAAGAAAGTTTGACAAAGTAGCAGTGAATGAGAGTGGCTTTAATTTGGTGGTAATCTTTAATCTACTTTATTTTTTTAGGAAACAAATTAGTTATGAAACACCTCACAGTTGATTACAACACACCAGTGTGTTGTGACATTAGAGTTGAGAAACCTTCAACCAGAAAAATAGTATAATTATAAAGCCACATACATGGTTGAGCACTTCTATCCAAAGTTGTTGATTCATGGATAGATGTCAACCTGGAGGCAGCTCTGCATGATGCATCAGAGGCTCTGTCTTACTTTGGCCCTGTCCCGTATTATGTTTTTATGAGTATCTTGGATGAGATTTAGACAAGAAGCTGATGCTGATGACTTGAAACCTAGGGTGAGAACGAATGTATCAGATACCAGCTCAGGATCCAAAAAGATCTGGATCAATCAAGGTGGCTAATCAATATTAGCCAATATAAACTGATACAATGGAAATATGTGACCAGGCTTTCTTTCACTTGAGTCCAGAAAAGCCAACTAATTATGAAATGTTTTCTATATGCAACTAAAGAGCTTGAGTTCGTTCTCAAGTTCTGCCATCACTTCCCTGTATAACTTGAAGTATAAACTTCAGTAAGCAACTTTAACTCTTCTTAACTCCCTCACGTCCTGCATTAGTAAAAGGAAGTAATAGTAATAGCTAACTCATAGTAACTTCAGTGAGTTAATGTATGGAGAGCAGTGGAATATCCTTGGCAGAGTAACAGAAAAAAATGTTAGCTGTTATCAGTATTGTGGGTGGGGGAGTACTGGTAGCAGTATTTCCTAGTAAATAGATGTGAGAAAGATTTAGTAGTTGATAAAACATTCAATAGATTTTAGTTGTAGAACAGAGTTACCAACAGAGTGCATGTCATTTAGGGCTTTATTTAATTAGAATTCCCTGCTTGAAATGAAGCTGATAGAAGTTCTGACTGACTGTGTTCTGCTCAGGCTGCAACCTGAGCAGGGGTTTGAGATTGGGAGCTATAGTCCCAAACTGTCATAAACACATTGGAGTCTGTTCAACAGACCTGGAATGCAGGAGCTGTTACAGAATTGGAGGTGTCAGTCTGTCTTTAGAAGTGTAATGATCTGTGGAATAGAATGTGGAACTTGTTTTATGTGCCCTCTCCCATTGATTTTCCCAGAACCAATTAGTAAAAATTACCATGACATAGTTTCTGAGTCCACAAAATGAAAATCTTCCTTGTGCTCAGAGTTAGGAAGATGTGCTAAGTTCCCTGTCCCCACAATGATAAGGCCTTATACAACCACTCGGCATAGATATAATGGGATTTAAATCCAAAATGGGCGATTGGATTAGATGTCTTGTAACATTGACCCTCAGAAACCCTGGGAGTTTATCTAATGCAATCTGAGGATTCTAGATTTGCTTTTTAATTACATACTTAACTGCTTCCCAAACTGCTGCCTTTTGAGCTCTTATTGGGTTGGTTTTTTTTGTTTTTTTTTTTTTTTTAGGCTTTTGGCCAAAGGTCTGTACTTTTTTCCCTCCCTCCAAATAGGTTAAATACTCTGGGTGTTCATTTTTTAGGAAATGAACTTGCAATGATTAAACAGGAAATATGCACTTAGCTTCTAATGTTAGCTGCCTCAAAACAAAATCAATTCCGTTTCAAATGGAATGCTATTGGAGAGCTATTCAGAAATATGTTGATACGAAAGAAATATTGAAGGTGAACACATCAGGGACAGGAAATGAGAAACTTAAAGATATCTTCAATGCCAAAAGGCACTCTGTCTTTCCTGTCCTCAAAACCTTGAGGAAATCTTTAAAATGCTCCGCTCATTTGAGGCATAAATATGTTGGGCTAAAAGCCAATGAAACCTGGATTTTAAAAAACCCAAAGTTTTTTCGCTAGATCCTCTATAGAAAGGTAGAAGTTTAAATTCTGAAGATGCCTGAATTACTAACCAGAGCGGACTCTGTGAGTACGTAGTGGGAGACGGAAAAACAAAAACAAAAACAGAAAAATCCTGCTGGCTCTGGCATCTTTATGTGAACAAATTGGTTGTTCATATCCCACATGGCCTCAGTTTCTAATCAATAAGCATTCTTTTTAAGCCTGAGAAGTAGCATATTCACACATTATATGGAGCAATGCCTCGTTTCCTTCTCAATAACCAGCTCTGCCGCTTGGCCAAGGGAACATTTTCCAATTCTGTCCGTGCAATCAAGCGGTTTCTACCAAACAGTAGGAGTTTTTCAAGCTGGTATCATACAACTGCACCCAGGTTTGTAGGTCATATTCAACAACCAAAAAACATGTTCAGAATCACTGACTTCTGGTCAAAGATGACTATACAAGCGTGAAATCTAAATTGAATGTCTTCTATCTTTACTCTGTTAAGTTTTTATGTTATGCCAACAGGAAAAAACTAAAGTCAAATATATATTATAAAGGGTTATCTTGAGGAGGGGGGAGATTTTAATCTTGAAGTTGAATTTAACTATTCTTTCCATATTTTAAAACATGGACTAATTTAACATAGCTTCCAGAAACCAGTAATAAATGAAATTTACAACTAGTAAACTTTTGTCTTGCAGTCATTTAAACAATGATGTTCTTTTATGAGAAATGGATTCTTTGTTTTCCAGGGCTCTCATTTTTCACCTCTAGATCCAAAACTCTGTAGTTCACCACATCCTGGACCAAATGTCCCAGCTTCCTGCTTAGAAAGTATATATGTCTTCAGTTCCACGAGCCTTCATAAGGAATTGAGAAATGCTTCCTCTACTCTCTTACTAAGGATATGGGATGTTTTGTTTTATTGAACTAGGAATTCTATCAGAGGTGAGTTGGAAACAGTGAAGAACAAGAATGTAGCAGCATTAATAGAAATAAGATAGTTTATACCATCAAACAGATCCACTTTTTAGAATTTTTGTCTTTCTGAATACTGCTGTGCATAATCCTAAGAAATAAATATTGGCCAGCATCTGTTAAGAGTGAATAATTTCTCTATGGCATTATTATAACCAAAAAAAAATTGAAAACAGACAAGTGAACAACAATAAAGGCATTCATCTAAATTATTTTTACCAAGTGTGTAGAATAACATTGAAAACTTTAGAGGCCACCTCAAAAACTCTTACTACCTCTTTGGAAGTCAGCTTGAACTTTAAGGCAACACCACTGAGAGAAAAATGTTTAATTATTCTGACATGGGTGGTTAACAACTTCAGTTTTTTTCTTTATCTTGTGCATCAGCAGGTTTCTTTGACAGCAAATTATGACTGTGGGCAAAGTGGACACAGTGCAAAGGAGAATGAAGAAAAAGCTCCCACCGCCAAAAGATATTTTCCTCTCCCCAGAACACTTTGCCAGTAAAGTGCTTTTAAGAATTTTGCCTACTTATTAATCTACCCTAGGTTTCCCTTTCAATATCACTTAAAACACTATTTAAAAATATATTTAATGAAAAACAACTTATAATTCCCAAAGGTGAGCATCCATAGACTTAAAACAGCCTACTCTTGTAGAGAAAAGGTCTTTTATTTATCTCAGTCCTACATGATTTGCAAGAGAGTGGACACCCAATATATATTTATGGAACAAATCAATGGGAACAAAAGGAGGAAAATGATAGAAGGGACAAAAGTGGAAATACCATATTATGAGAGACTTTAAAAACCTTGAATTTTCAAAATGAGGAACCGTGCAGATGACTGCGATGATTAAAAAAAGCAAAGGACTATCTTAATCCCACAGCATTTTATTTAGTAGGTTTTCTGATTTTCCTTTAAGTAGATGCCTAATAAGCAAGTACTCTCCTCTATATAGTCATTTTGCAAAATCCACACTTACAAGCTGCATGTTCATAGACAAGAAACTTGACCTCTCCACAACTCTTTTTCTTCATCTGCAAAGTGGGAATGAGCAGTATAGCAAAGTGAAATGATTTGTATTCATAAATCAAATAGAACTGAGTCTGGCATATGTTATGCATACAATAAATATTAGTTACAATTGTGATAATCATCTTCATCATCCTCAACAGATTCATTAAATGCAAAGAAAGTAGTAAGTTATTTTAAAAAGATTTTTAAAATCAGATCATTTTGTCAAATGGTTTTAATCTGTGTTAAACTTACGTACATAATAATAGAAAAGGATGCAAAATTTTCCTCTCCTTAAGAACAGTGTATGCAGCATTTAGCTTTTACTTCCCTTTGCATCTCCATAACTCTCTTTCAGTCACATTTCTGCAGCAGTCAAGACATTTGTGAAATGTATGTAAGAACCAATGCACAATGGAACACATTCTATCCCCACCTTGAGTTGACCTCACCAAAAATTTGCTCATGTGGCTTTACTTTTATATACCTTTTTCAGCAAAGTCAAGAATTTCAGTTCCATATAAGAAACTAATGAGTCAGTCTTCTCAGCAGTAATGAGGAAAGGGGAACTCGAGAGCTGGAAATAGAAAAGGAAGGTAAAGTATGCGCCAGACCTAGAGTAAAGAGTTTTGCAATAAAGATTTTTTGCAAAGAAAAGAATGTTGAGAGAAAGTAGACCTCATGCTAGGAGCTACACACGCATATCTACAAAAGAAAGCAAATGGGAAACCAATAAAGGTGACAGCAGACTTCATGAGCTTTGTCACGAATAAGACTTGTTAGCACTCACTGAGCATTTACCGTGCACAACACAGGTCAGACCATTTAATCCATCTTCATGGCAGTGCTGTTGGAGTGGCACTGTTAGCCTCATTCTATAGATAAAGGTGCTGAGTCATATAAAGTCTAAAAATGTGCTGAAGTCATAGCTAGCAAATGGCAAAGACAGAATTTGAGCCCAGGCAGTCTGAATCTAGGGACTGTGGGCTTAAACAGTACAACACTATCCCTGTGACTAAATATATGTAATTCTCTGTACGGGGGCAGAGTGTGAGATTTACCTCATTAGCTTTGCCAAAAAGTTTAAATCAAAGCTAAGTAAAGGTTTTTGTAAGCTAAGATTTCTGGTTATTCTTTATCTCTGGGCCCAGAATGAGGAGAAAAAAACTCAAAACTGAGTAAAAAATTAGAAAGTCATTGACTATTTGAAAAAAAGACAAAGAGCAGGAATAACAGAGAGAGAGAGAGAGAGAAAGAAAGAAAGAAAGAAAGAAAGAAAGAAAGAAAGAAGGAAAGAAGGAAGAAGGAAAGAAGGAAGGAAGGAAGGAAGGAAGGAAGGAAGGAAGGAAGGAAGGAAGGAAGGAAGAAGTCTTTGTATAAAGACTATCCACAGCAAAGGCAAGCAAACTTTTTTTTTAAATATTTTATTTACTTTTTTTTTTACAAATAGTTTATTGTCAAATTAGTTTCCACATAACACCCAGTGCTCATCCCCACAAGTGCCCTCCTCCATGCCCATCCCCCCTCCCCCCCACACCCATCAGTCCTCAGTTTTTGTCAGCATTCAAGAGTCTCTCATGGTTAAAGGCAAGCAAACTTAACAGGCGTCTTATTGAAAGTGTAAAGAAGATTCTAAAGATTTTCTTAAAATATTGCAAGGCAGTTAACAGAAACCAATGAATGCACACTCCTCCATTTACACACCATAGCTGTGGTTTGCCCTTGCCCATGATCTATGCTTCTTTTTTGAAATGAGCCCCCTGATTTTCCTCTGAGAAATCACCCTCCCCCACCATCTCAGGGCAAACTCCAATCCCAGCTTGAAACCATAACCCAAATCTGGCCATTAAAAGTTCTCCATCCCTCTTACCAATGTGTATGGGGAGTCTACCAGCCACAGGACTTTTACTGGAATTACTGGGAAAGAGAAGGGTTCTTCCCAGAGATTGCCAAACCAATGTATTCCAGGCCTTGCCTTGGTGGCAACCATCTTTCTGCACAACTGGCTAAGGCCTGTCTGAAATGATGACACTGCATGGGACATCAGGGAAGACATATGGGAGGGACACAGATTCCTAAAGTTACCATGTGTGCACCTGGATAAAACTGAGCCTACCAACTTGATTTTTCAATTATGTAGGCCAACTAAAGAAAATGTTTTTAAGTCAAGTCAGCTTAGTTTGGCTATCTGCCACTCACAGCAGAGAGAACTCAGGTTGAAATACTAATATGAGACATGTAAAATGTCCACTGATAATCCCTCTACTTAGCCAGATATCTTTATCATTTTAATTTGTGTTCATGGAAAGAATGCCTAAAAGAATAGTTTCACATAGGACTTTCATCTTCCAACCTCTTTATTCCTTTAAGTTCTAAGGTTTATTGCCTGTAAATTTTCCTTCCATGGTGTCTTTAGGAACCCACACATCACAAACAGGGTGGACTATCATATAACATGTTGGATATTTACTCAGACAGCTGTTTTATTAAGGTGTTATTAATAAGTGCAAGAGGTCAAAGACTTTGTTAAGAACTTAATATTATAAAATTCCTTAAGCATTTCACTAGGTTATTTAGGAAATTTCTTTTAAAAAATTAACATGCTGGGGTACTTTGGTGGCTCCGTGGGTTGAGTGCCTGATTCAGTTCAGGTCATGACCTCACGGTTTGTGAGTTCAAGCCCCTCATGGTGCTTGCTGCTGTCACCACAGAGCCAGCTTTGGATCCTCTGTCTCCCTCTCTCTCTGTCCCTCCCCTGCTCATGGTCTCTCTCTCAAAAATAAAAAAGATAAATAAATAAATAAATAATAACCTACTTAATGGAAATCTGAAATTAATGAATGCAGGTAAAACAGTGGACCCCAAATTTTACTGTGCATAAGAATCATGTAGGAAGCTTGATGAGTTGAACATTCCAAAGTTCCAGCCTCAAAAATACCCACGAGGAAATTGAGGCATGAAATCTAAAAGTCTTCATCTTTACCAAGCTCTTGAAATCATTCTGTGGTAAGTAGTTTCAGACCAGCCTTGAGGAACTCTTAAAATTCTCACGGAGCATCAGTAAAGATGTTACTCTGAGTTCATAAATTATGAATCTGTGTCTCCAAAAGAGTCAAGGATCATTAAGGATAAACTTGAAAATTTGCCTAATTTCACTTCCTTCTAGTCTGGTCAGCATTAAGTGACATAATGTACATAACGAATTTCATCTAGTTGGCATGTGTTGAGAACAATCTTTTTAACATGCTTATTATAATGGAACTAAAAGACAACAGATTTATTCATCTTGATAATAAAGAGTACTGCTCTCTTCTCTCTCTACAAATGTTAAGGTCCAAGAATGTTAAATACTGTGCTGATTTTTAAGCTTTTGTCTCTTGGTACCAAACCTGGGAATCTCAAATCAGAGGAAAATATACGCCACATTTGTGTGTGCTTCTCTGACCCATTTACCAAACAACTTCCAAGCCTGCAAATTTTGAGTAGGTACAGAGTAAGAAAAGGCTCTGTAGCAAGTCCAGTCTGTGGTGCAAACTGCTCTCTTGAGCTTTAGAAGAAAAGACTAGGAGAAGGAGACTCATTTCACCCAAGACCATCAGAACAAGACCCACTAGACACCAAAAACCTCTGATTGCCTATCACTTCCTTACACATTTCTGGTCTTAAACTCTTGAGTTATTTTCTTCTTTCTTAGTTGGTTTAAGTTCCAAAATAGTTCACAGGCATCCCTGGCCTTTAATCACAGTATTCTTAAGATCCTTACCCATGGCAGTCAATAGATATGGGATTGATTATTTGGACACTGGCAAAGTTGAGTAATCCATTTCCAAGCTAAGGGGAAAGGTCAGCTGATTATAAATGGAATATGAGACATCTCTTCATGGCTCAGATTTGGAAGTTTAGTATTTTATTTTTGAAGTACCATGTACACTTTAATATTAATTTTTTCTTAGTGTTTGTCTGTGTTGCAGAAGCCAAACATGTTATCTCCAGAGTCTTAATTGCTGTATAGCTGCTGCCATGTAATGTAATTCAACTAGTGATCATCCAACAAAGAGAACAAGAAGGCCTGACAATTAAAGAGATGAAAACAACTACCATTCAAAAGTCAATACACAATAATGACGTCTCAAGAACGGTGCAGATTTGGACTGATCACATCCTCTGATGATAACAGTCCATCAGTCCATCTTTCAGAGAAAGGAGGTCTAATGAAGTAAAAAACAAAAAACAGAAAAACAAGAACAAGAGCAAAAATAAAAACAAAAACCCCAGATGGTAGCTGTGAGGAGATATCTGAAAATTGAGTCAGAGAACACAATTTGCAAAAGTGTACCAGGACTCCCAAAACAGATAAACTATCTTTTAACTCATGCCATTTTAACATATGTCATTTAGATCCCTGTGTTCCAAGATAAGACCACTGTTGAGGGGTGCCTGGGTGGCCTAGTCAGTTAAGCGCCTGCCTTCAGCTCAGGTCATGATCTCTGTCTGTGAGTTTGAGCCCCATGTCAGGCTCTGTTCTCACAGCTCAGACCTGGAGCCTGCTTCAGATTCTATGCCTCCCTCTCATTCTGTCCCTCTCTTGCTCATGTTCTGTCTCTCTGTCTGTCTCAAAAATAAATAAACATTAAAAAGAAAAAGACCACTGTTGAAATGATCCAGTGGTAACTGCATGGACTCCTGTGTTAAAGATAAGACTACTGACTGTCACAGCAACTTGACTGGTTTACAGATTCTTACTAATCCCTAACTTTTTCATCCAATGGCTAACTCCAGCTTCACAATTTTTAAAACCTCCATGATTTACACACTTGTAATACACTCCATGGCTTCCTAATGTTTGTATTCTTCCTTGCAGGAACAAGCTAATAAACTTCCTTTTGTGTTTCTGGTGATCAATGGCTGGTGGGATATAATCTAACAACCCATCACCCAGAAATGACGGGGTAGATAGAACACTAAAATGACCTACTGAAGAAGAATCAGTGACAGCACCAGGTATCGAACAATATTCTGAAATGTTGGGTTTGTCACTAATAGGCCACTGTATAAGCTTTGAATCAGTGACCAAGAAGGTGCTATTATCTCCCATAGGCAGAATAGATGGGTCCAGGAATCATGAAGAGGCAAAAGTGGAAGTGGCTACTTCCAGTATTATGCCCACTCAGATTATTTGATTCCTGTTATCCCAATTTAAATTCTACAGGTTTGGATGTCTTAGAGGAGTGCTTCCACAACAATGATTCTGCTGAACTGGAAGTTTGAGACTACTCCCTGGTTATTTTGAATTCCTTATGGTATTGGGTCAACAGTGAAAGAGAAGGGACACTTATCAACTGGAGGAATTGATGCTGACCACCAAAGGGGAGTCAGGTTGCTGTTACAAAATGGGGGCAGGAAGGACAATGTATGGAACTGAGGTATTCTTTCAGATGCCCCTAGTATTTCCATTTCCAATAGCAAAAGTTATTGGAAAATTATAACAACTAGAGAAATGCATAACCACTAAAGATTCAGACCCTTTAATAATATTTGAGTCACCTGACCAGTTAAAAGGATTTAGGCCAGTTGAAATGCTGGCTGAAGGTAAAGAAAACTTGAAATGTTTCATGCAAGAAGGAAGTTATAAACACCATTACAGCCCTCTAAAACTAGAACTATAACAACTATGTGTATTTTACTTCCTTGCTTGTTACATAAATACATATAAATATATAATATATTACATGATATATTATTACAATGTTGCATTCTTTTACTACCTTTTGTATTATATATATTTGCATATATTGACCTCTATTTTCCTTACTCTTTTTCCCTTATCCTTTTGAAGAGATTAGTGGCAATGATTGACTTTAAAATTCAGTCATCAGGGGCGCCTGGGTGGCTCAGTCAGTTGAGCGTCCATCCAACTTTGGCTCAGGTCATGATCTCGCAGTCTGTGGGTTTGAGTCCCACATCGGGCTCTGTGCTGACAGCGAGCTCAGAGCCTGGAGCCTGCTTCAGATTCCTTATCTCCCTCTCTCTCTCTGACCCTCCTCTGCTCATGCTGTCTTTCTCTCTCTCTCTCTCTCAGAAATAAATAAAACATTAAAAAAAACTTTAATCCTTCTTACAAAAATAAATAAATAAATAAATAAAATTTAGTCATCAGCTTACAGAATATTTATATGGAAGTGAGAATTGATCTCAGGACTAATCAATATCACCTAGAGATAGACATCATGATCTCTGTATATTAAATATTAAATGTTAGGATATTACTTAATTTGACTCTTGTGCCTTTATATCTCCCCTCCAAGAGCAAATGGTGAAAACAGCTTCTTTTTTTGTGGGGGGGGAGGGTGGTAGTTGCATACTTTGTTAATGTTGCTGTATGGAAATTCAAATATGTTTTGAAGAGGTATATGGATGCCAAGTGGCTCCAAATTTGGACTGTGCACATTTTTCAGTGATTGCTCATCATCTCCAAATCCACCCTTCTATGCTCTGCTTTGGAAACCTGTCAGTAAAAACCTGCACTTTATTCTTCTTTGCCAGCTGCTCTTTGATAGGCTGTATTGATAGAAGGCACTGGAGGGAGACAGGAAAGCCAGAGGAGTGAGAGGATGGATTCCTCCTGTTTGCTTGCTGTTCTCGTCCACGTATTCCAACAACTGCCCTTCACCCTGGCTGCAGCAGTTGGTGCTATTCTGTCTTTTTCTGGCACTCCTGGTACCAACGTCACAATGCCTCCTCGAACATACCAGCTCTAGGGGCACCTGAGATGGTCAGTTGGGTAAGTGTCTGGCTCTTAGTTTCAGCTCAGATCATGATCTCAGGTTTTGTGAGTTCCAGCCCCATGAGCACTGTTAGAATGGAGACTGCTTAGAATTCTCTCGGGGCACCTGGGTGGCTCAGTCGGTTAAGTGCCTGACTTCGGCTCGGGTCATGGTCTCGCAGTTTGTGAGTTCGAGCCCTGCATTGGGCTCTGTGCTGACAGCTCAGAGTCTGGAGCCTGCTTCTGATTCTGTGTCTCCCTCTCTCTCTACCCCTCCCCTGCTCATGTGCTGTCTCTCTCTCAAAAATAAATAAATATTTAAAAAAAAAAAAAAGAATTCTCTCTCTCTCTACCCCCACCCCCACCTCTCTGCCCCTACCTGCTTGCTCTCATGCTCTCTCTCTCTCAAAACAAATAAATTAACTTAAAAAAAAAAAAAACCATTCCAGCTCTAGACAGGTAGTGCCATCTTTTTAGAGGCTTGAATTCCAACCCCCAGTGTCTCTATTCATTTCTTTAGGTTCTAATAATTCCAAACTCTTCACTTTATTCTTCCTGGAATAGTAATTCTTACCACCATTACCTCTGTCTAAATGAAATATCTCCCATTTTTCTCTTTGATTCTTTAGCAACCATTTTACCAAGGTCCTAGATTAAATTCTCCCTGTTATGACCCAGCAATAGCACTACTAGCAATTTATCCCAAGGATACAGGAGTTTTGATTCTAGGGGCACATGTACCCCCAATGTTTACAGCAGCACTTTCAACAATAGCCGAGTTATGGAAAGAGCCTAAGTGTCCATCAATGGATGAATGGATCAAGAAGATGTGGTTTATCTCTACCATGGAATACTACATGGCAATGAGAAAGAATGAAATCTGGTCATTTGCAACAACATGGTTGGAACTGGAGGGTGTTATGCTGAGTGAAATAAGTCAGGCAGAGAAGGACAGATACCATATGTTTTCACTCATCTGTGGAACTTGAGAAACTTAACAGAAGACCATGGGGGAAGGAAAAGGGGAAAAATAGTTACAAACAGAGAGGGAGAGAGGCAAACCATAAGAGACTCTTAAATATAGAGAACAAACTTAGGGTGGGTTGGGGAGGAGGAGAAGGGAAAATGGGTGATGGGCACGGAGGAGGGATGGGCACTGGGTGTTGTATGTAAGTGATGAATCACGGGAATCTACCCCCAAAACCAAGAGCACACTATATACACTGTATGTCAGCCAACTTGACAATAAATTATATTTTTAAAAAACTCTCCTTGTTAAAATAACTGGTCTTTTTCCTGACTGGACACTAAAGGATGCAAATGCTGACAGCACTATTGGCCTAAGAAGGCATTTAGCACACAAGGTTCACGCAACAAGTTGAGAATTCTGGTACTAATAACATTTCACTTATATAAAACAGGTCAACAACATCCTTATTCAAAGTTTTCCAACCAGAAATGTTTCAGAATTCAGGATATTTCAGATTTTAGAAAGACAATAATGTTTATACATTAAACTGTGTAATAGTTTCAATGGGATATGGGACAGTACCTCATTATTAAACACTTGAGGAAATAAATATTCCCTCATATAAGTTCAGGTCAAGTTTTGCCACCAAATGAATTTAAACACACACACACACACACACACACACACAAACAACTTGTGGTTTTCGGAGCTTTTTAATTTTGAACTGTAACAAAGCATTTTAACTTGTATTAGGAAAGACTTCCAAAGGACTAATCAAAGGACCAATTTTTTTACATCTAAGATTGAATTAAAGTGCTTTCAGGAACACTCTGAGTAAATCTGAGTAAGGAGGTAATGTCTGACTTAAACATAAGCAGAAATAACAGAGATAGCTTTGAATAGACTTGTCTGGTAGTCTTCAGAAAATATTGCCCCCATTTACCTGAGAGTCAGTGAATCAGTTCTCTGCAGGAAGGAAAATCTACTGCGATAGCAAATCATGAGTAGTTCGTATTTGAGACTGGGTTAATGAAGTTGCATGTAAAATTCACACAGTGAAACTCTATCAGAGGAATTGTGACAGCAATCAGCAGAACATGTTCTAACATGCCGATCTGCCATTTTGGTTTTTTATGCATTGCAAAATTAACCAGGAAAAACCCCCCCACATATATAAATACATTCTTGATAATTTAAATATATCAAGGTAAGTGCCAGAAGAACAAAGAAAAGAAACAGGTAAAAATGATTGTTCTTGAGAAGTGGGACTGAGGGAATTGGAAATATGGAAGGGGCAGAGGAATTTTTGTTTAGGCTTCTCTGTCTTATTTGATTTGTAACTATGTGAATTATTATTTAATAAGAGCCTTTTAATTACTGCCCTAAAATATATAAACTTAAAAATGGAACTTGTCCCTATAAGTTGTGAATAACAGTGCTTAATTTATAAAACATAAATATACAGCTTTCCCGTTTCTGAACAGCAATTTAGAATTTGATTTAATAAAAGTGACTTAAATCAAGTTGACTGAACCTCTAGCTTCAGATGACCTAGTAAAGACACTTCTATCCCTGGCTTCATCCCAAAAACTAACCTAAACAACAAAACAATGATAAAGACAGACACTAAAACTTCATTTCCAATGAACCCAGAAAATAATTACAACGTCAACACAAACTATGAAAACCAGCTGCCAAGAGACAGCAGGTTCTGGACTAAACTGAAAGATAGAGGCTTCAAGGATAGCAATCAAGCTGACATCTTTTGCAGCAAGCCCAATGCTCCCAAAGCAGCCTATGGCCCTGAAGGGTTGAATCAGTGATCCCTAGGTTGGATCAGCAAGGTCTTGGAGTGTGTCCAGGAATATCCCTGAAGCCTTCTCTAACCTGCTAGCAGGACAAGATGTGGGGCTAAGTGAGAAACATGGGGACATGACATTTATACAAGAAGTCTGCTCGTGTGATCAGAGGGAGAATACATGATAATAAGCAATCAGATTTTGTAGTAGATAATCACAGAATTATTTATTTATATAAACACTTAGTTCTCACACTTTTTCAAGAACTGCTCAGGGTATCTTTCAAAATTTTAATCCACTAATCCTGATAGCTCTATCAGGATTATAGGTATAGGTACAGTATAGGTACTGTACCATCACTATCTCTCTCTTACAAGTGAGGACACTGAGGCACTGAGAAGTTAAGGGCCTCAGCTTGTAAACGACAGAGCCTAAATTCCAACCGAAGATGGTTATATGCGTGAACCACCAAGTTATAGTGTCTCTTTGAAGGGAAATATGAATGAATGAAAAAAATGAAGGAAGGAAACATCATCACACGCAAAAACTTTGTTGTTATTGAAAAGAAAGCCAACCTGCTCACCCAAGGAGAGTACAGAGAATGCTACAAACACTGGTGAGAGACAGGTGGAGCCCTAACAGAAAGTGCTGGAAAGTGCTCTGAGACTTTCAGAGGTGCCATATTATCTACGATTCCTCACAACACTCCTACTTCAGCCTATTCTGCTAAAGTGAAACTGTCCATTGCTTCAGCTCATCCTCTGGGCCCCTTTTCCCCAAATTATTGAGGTCATAGCTTGTTGTGACCAAACTATCCTCCTTTAGAGATGAGTTATAATCAGAAACTGAACTGTGCAACCAGTGAAGATGAAAGGACTAAAACAAAAAAATTTAATTAGGCTGCAGAGAGACATGTAGAGTGAGCAGCTGAAAGAAAATAAAACCAATACAGAAAATAAACAAGAAAAAAACGTAGATAGTGCTTAAAATAGAATCAAAGGTATGAAGGAAAAGGAAATCCAAATCACACACATGCACACATATATCCTGTATCATAGAGGACTTCACTGTAAGCCATTGAGAAATCACACTAAACCAGAGACAATTAATGCCCGTGGGCCAGTGTTCTAAGAAAAGAGATTCCAAAACATTCTATGATTTCTCAAATTACTTGCTACCTCAGCTTAGTCCCCTGGCTCTTCT